CTCATGTATGTTGATGATCTGAAACCTGCATATAGGTATAAGCCGGCATATCGTGTCATCGTGCTTGAGCTCCTAAAGAGCGACTTACAGGCCTTTGCCCAGTGGTGCCGTACATGGTGCCTTTCTCTCTCTTGGTATAAATGCTCAGTCATGGTGGTCAGTGATGACCGCCAACCCCAACTAAGTATTGACGGTCATGACATAAATGTGCCTGAAGTTATTAAGGGTCTGGATATGTCATACTCCAAAGGTCTTAATATTTCGAAGCACTGCGTCCTCATATTCTCCACAGCACGCAGAACGATCGGGTTTAACCTCAAAAAATTTTAACCGAACGATATTGAAAAGCGTCAGACCTGACCTGGAATACTGTTCGTTTTTATTTAGACTCATGCGTGCTGCTGAGTGCAAACGAACAGAATCTGTCCAACACTTTTTACGAAGAGAGTTCTGAACTTGGACCACCAATACTTGACCTATGAGGAACGCTGCGAGCTACCAGGCCTTGATCCCTTGTGGTTTCGTCGTTTCTCTTCTGTGAACGCAATTGCAATTTGAAACAAATTACTCAGGAATGCAAAAATTCTGCAAAATTATTTTTTGTTTAAGAGAGCCATTACTCGTTTTTTTGCAGTTAGTGAATATCCCACACACTTTGAATGCCGAATCCACCGATTTAATCTAACGTAGTGATGGAATTTATGGTCTCTGATATCCTGGCTCGCCTCACCACGGACGATTTCTTTAAACGCCACCGAACAATGGTTTTTCAATGGCCCTCATTGGTCCAGTACCAATTTCATGTAAAGGAATGGAAACTGAGAATGTCCGAGACAGTGTTACCCATCCCTTTCTGGACTGACGTCATTTCATGAGCAGCAGTTATTTTCTCCTGAAACATCAAAACCACAAGAACGTCATCTTCAGTATTCAATCATAAGGTGTTTTGTTCACCTTTAACCAGATCCATGTTTTATTTCGCTTTGACAGTGCCTGTAAACTGACATTAACTGCAATCATTGTTATTAAATATTGATCTGTTCATCTAAGAATTGCACAACTTTTCAAAGTGGCCTCGAGAATGCGCCAAGCGTGCGACAGGCAGAGGGAATCACTTGCTCTCAGTGATCCGAACCCTACCAAGTCCGTCGCTGGAAATTCTACCATTGGTCCTCCTCTAAGCGTGGCCCCGAAATTCCACCCCTGCTAACCAATAACAAAATCTTCCTTATCGATGATATTGACAAGGCGGAGTTGTCTAGTGCACTTTTTTGCAAGACATTTTACTACTGGGTCTGAGCTAATCTCTTTCTTCCCTTTACTTTCAGATAGGAAACTGACTGACCATCGACGTCTCTTCAGACCTCATCAAGAAACATATAAGTCGTTTGAAAAACTCACACTGCTTGGGAACGGACGGAATGTCAAATTCGAATATGACACAGGTATTTAATCTTTCCATATAGCTTAATCATTTACTGTCAGTCTTTATCTCCAGGCGGATTTTTCCGGAGACATGGAAGACGTCAATTATCCCTTGAGCTTCCAAGTGTGCATCTTGATTCGATGCTCATAACTATCGGGTGTGCACAAAACTCCGTCCTAACAAAACTTCTTGAGAAAAGTCATTTTTAACTAACCTCCTCATTTCTGACTATCTACTCATCTTTTGAGTTCTACCTAGCATGGATCTTTGCCTGAGAGATTCTGCAAAACTTGCCACTTAATTTTACCACTTATCTTCGTAATGAACAGCAGTCAGTGGTGGTTTTATACTTTGATCTTAGCAAAGCATCCGACAAGATGCCATCAAGACGTTTTTTGATACAACTGGAAGCTCTCAGCGTCCGGCCGCCTCAACTTGACTTCACCGGCTCCTGCATATCCAACTGCTAGCAAAATGTCATGATTGGTCATAGTTACTCCATACCTCAATCGATCACGAGTGGCGTACTTCAAGGCACAATTCTAGGTCCGGTGCTCTTCCTTCTTTACAGCAATGATATCTCGATATAAAGCGAAAATCCGTAGATATTTATTTTTGCCAATGGTCTCAAGTGTGCTTACTCATATTCTAGGCCAACGCAAATATTTGCGTCTACAAAAATGGATGTCGATCTACTACGCATATGGAAATGAAGTTCAACCTGGCAGATGGAGTTTTCATCGTCCAAACATAGTTTCATTTCTTTTGGCTCTGCCAAGCTTCCTGGCTCCGTAATATTTTAAAATGACCCATTTCCAGAATGTTCCACAATAAAGGACCTAGGAATAAAATACACAAACAAGCTTGCTTTATCACCTCATACAGATAGAATTTCAGTCAGAGCTGCGCAGATATGTGGATTCATATCACATAATTTTTGCCCTCCGGAAATGACGATAAGACTTTATCGAATGTTTGTTCGTCCTGTCCTCGAGTACTGCTGTCCTTTCTTTGGTTTCAGGAGCTCCTGTAACCGTAATGAAATGAAAAGTGTTCAGAAGGTTTCACTCAGAAACTCTGCTCACAAGCTGCATCCGCTATTTCTTATACTTAGAGATGTCAGCTGGCGAATATAAGATTTTCAAGAATTTGAAGACTCGAGGCCGACCTTTGTTTTCTGTTTTACATTTAATCTAGCCGCAATCCTCTACATATTGATGCCCTTACTCAAAGAAATCGGTCGTGTCACGCGTAATTCCTTCACTTTTATTCCACCGCCTCTTCTCTCTACGTCTAGTCTCTCCCAATTTTGAAATATTTTTCAGATTTGGACAATCATTTATGTTATTGGTTTTCACATCGCATCTACGTATGCAACTCGCCTGGAAATGCATAAAATAGTTTTCGATTTTCCGTTCCCGAACACCTTTATTCTGGAGGCTGATAATATAACACCTAGGATTCAATGGCAGGTGATATTTCCACCGTCGCATCCTACACTATCCGCCATGTGCCCCGCCCTAGCTGGGAACAGGCACGGAGACCTGTACGTAATCCAGTTTATATTGAATGACGACTTGCGCATCATCTACCACAGTCTTTCCTCTTCACCACCTGAGCCAGGTGTCAAGACCGGTCAAGAAGACTGGAGACGTAGGGAGGGCGCATGTGGATTGCACGGCCGAGCCGGTATCTCGATGCTCCACTCCACACCTCCTGGTCCACACGACATTTGGCCAGGATTTTAACCAACACCAGCACCGCAACTGGTCAGAATGTCGTGAATGGCTGGATAGCCATGCTCACTACCTGGATAACCAGCGACAACGCAGGTCCATCTTTAACTAGGGAACCAGGTGTCAGATAATTGCCAACGCACACCAGGCTGCGAAGGCCGTGGTCTGCTGATCCTAACATAGCAGACACTTGCATAATCTGTTTGGTCGAGTGAAAAGTTCCACTCAGATTTTTGCAACTCCTTATTTTTGTTTGGATCTTAAACCCACTTCCATTGCCATCCCCGCAGCGATGATTTTTGCGGATTTTAGTGTCATCTCTTCATCTCGACCCCAAAGTCATCCGGCCAATCGCGTTGTGTAACAAATGTTTCACCATTTTGACTGTTGTTTCTGCTGCCATCGTAGAAATATTATGATCGCACTTGCAGGAAAGAGCCTCATCTGGTTTATGAATTCAGCCTTACCGAGAAACGGTTCGAACCCTTATGTACTCCCACGTACAGGGCGATGCTGTCCCACACGCATATATACCTTCCCAAGAGTGACAGTTTTTCCTTAAAAGCTAATCAAATCACCTTCCCCTTGCCCTTTTCAGCCGAATTTGAAGGAGTTTTTACTGTTCGCAAACGATTTTTATAGCACACTGTATATATTAGAAACGAGGACTGAACACTCTAGAGTGTCCACCTACTCGTTGTAAACTTCACATCAAAATGCATCTTTTCTTATTATTAAAGTACCCCTATGGCTGCTAAATAAAGCAGTTAATTTATTTTGACTTCTTATTTATGTCCGGCGTCCGTGATTTAAGAAAGACTATGAGCATCTGGAACGGGTCCTATCACAAATATATAAGATATTTAAATAAAAAATTAGACCCTCTTCTGATGAGAAACTACTGTACATGTAATTAAGATTGTATCCTTGGGAACAGTTTGCGTTTGCCCACACATGCAAGTGATTTTGCAGTTTTCGAAATTACTGCTATAAAACTGGTTCTATTACTAATTTCGGATATGAATCGGGGGTTCGGGGGCAAAGGCCTTATTCCCTTGATAAAGTGACGCATAAAATAATAATAAGTTCTTATAAAAGACCCGTCGGGTCCCATTAAAGCAAGTTAAATAAACTGACACGTGAATTTTAGACGAGGTTGGCATAGTGTGTACAAAATGCAATTCATAGTTTCTGAATTAGTAGTCCGTTGGGAAAATTGACTGGCGAGAGGTGAAAAAAACTCCACTCCTGTGTCATCTACTCGAGATTCAGATAGCAGATTTCAAAATGCGACAGAGCTGGCCGTAGTGTATGTTATGTCGCTTGTGAACCTTTGCTGCCTTACGGTAAATGTACTAAACTGGATTTTGTTTTGCTGGACTCCGTTTCTTGTGGGGTTCTTCAAGAAAAAACGACCTACCCAATCATTCATGAGGAATTGCGGTTTATTACTTAGGCAAATATAAGATCAATATTAGGTTTTTGCTCTATTTGGAAGAACCCAACTTAAGCTCTATGCATTTTCCACCTCATTTATATTCAATAGCCCGCAGCCTTCTTCGGCGGGTCTTTGAAATCGGTGTGCGTTGAACTGCTAGGAAGGGCCGTCCGTCTGGAGATATCCGATATGCTTAAGTTTCATCAATTCTTTCGGTACTGTCTTTTGGTCCCGACATTGTTCTAGTCTAAATTCAGCATCAATCTCGTTGGCAAGTGACTTTGCCACACGTGCTTCTCACAGCCAGCGCTTTCCCGCATATGTCAAACTGCATTTTCACGAAGTGAAATCAAGTAATCCAGACATGAAACCTCCAGATGTAATGAGGAAACTAAGTCAGATGTACAAGGCAATGCCTGCTGATGAATTGGAGAAACTCCATTTGGAACCCGTGACTGATCATACCCCTAAACCGGAAAGCGAGAAGCTGGAATTACGAAAAAAATTATCGGTGCGTGTTCTCCCAGGCTAGGGTAACGCGTTTCCCTAAGAATTTTAGAATGATACTTTTTGAGAACTACGTCTTCATACCTTTTACGATCTACACTCAGTCACATAAGCTAATTTATCAGTTCTTACACAAGTTCTTGCGAGCCAACCTTAATTACGTTTTATCTACCAGCTGTACCGTGATTTCTGTCATCTCATTTCAGTCACGATTGACTTTGCCTTTTGTCTGTATCCACTGGTTGTGTTTTGTTCTCAATGACCGTCTCGGAGTGCTGATATAATTTTGCAAGTCATTGCATGTCCCTGCCTTAGTGGTGCATAATTCGTCTTTATCAGGGCAGTCAATTTGTTCCTACTCATTATGCTCTGAATGATACTGTTAACTATTAGGCAGTATACTTGGCGGCCACTTTTCACATTACTTTTGACAAAAACAGTGATTTTACATAATGTCTTGAGTTGGTTATCATACGCCGTTAAGAAAGACTAAGACGCATTTTTCGCATTACCAATTGATACTCGCGCACCTGACTTGCAGGGGTAGGAAACTCCAGCTCCAAGGTGAGGTTACAGTAAACTCATAAGGCGCTTCTATCTTGTGAACGTTTAAAAATTCGCTTGCACACGCTCGAAAAGTGCCATGACAGGTCTGGCTGATATCATGGGTGCTGGCTTTCACACGCGCCAACTTTAAGAGAGCCTGGTATTTAGTCAATTTGTGAGCACGTCGGCGCGTTTCCAAGTCATGAGCAGTAGGATAGTTTTCAACTGGCCGTAACCGCAGAATAAACAGTTCCTGACAATGAAGCGGTAGTGCATTACAGTCCGACGCTACGTTTGTACAGTGGATATGCTGTCTTATAAAATTTTGGCTGAGATTCCAAAGTGTGTTTTCAATTCGAAAAGATTATTTAAGTAGGATTTTCATACTAATTACCATGTCGCAGGATCTTAAGATATCTCAATCACGCCAGGACTCCCGTTTTCGAAGGAGCTTATCGGCCGTTGGCTTAAGCTATATCCCGTAAAATCCAGTACTTAGTATGAATTTCCCGATTGATTTTTGGCACCCTTATCAATTCAAATATATTTCAGAAAATATGCACAAAAGTATACTCCATTATACTCACTTGGTGGCAAATTACGTCTTCAAGTTTTATGTTTGAATAAAAAGTATCTTTCGTTTTTCAGAGACCTCGATTCCCGAATAATTTTCGGCTCGACCTGTCGTGACACTCCTATTTAGGGTTTCCGAACTGCAAGCTGCATGTTTTTCGTGCAAGGATAATCATACATTTCTATGCGCTATTATGAGAAAGAAATTTCTTTCAAACCGAAAGCTACTCTTAAGTATAAGATTTGAAGAAGACGTAATTTGCCACTCAATGAGTGGAAGAATATTTGGCTACATGTTTTCTACAAAATATATTTGAATTTATGAGGACATCAAAAATCACCGGGAAAACTCATATTACTTAAGTTTTCTCTTTCTAGAATGTAGTTTACGCAGGTGGTCAATAAAAAGTTCGTTCGAAAGCCGGAGTCCTGACGTGACTGAAATATCTTGATATTATGCGACACGATCGTTAACACGAATACCCTACCAAAGTAGTCTTTTCGAATTGAAGACGCATTTCAGAATTTCAGCCATCATTTCAGGGGATGGCACACCTACTGTACATGGCAAAGTTTGCACGGCACCCACTAAGATTATCGTCGGTGTTAAGCACATCTGATGCACCTGGAGGGGTAGTTAGGCGTTCACCTTCGAAGTTAAGGAGCTAATAGTGACAATCGCTCCATGAGACTGCCTTACGCAACGGCTGCCCGACGGTTCACCACCCCACAGTTTCAGAATACTGGAGGGTTATGGTCAGCGCGCTTTGGCCGAACTTCGGGAGGTTATTAGTGCCGAATGGCGCTTTTTCTTATAAAAGACGGCGAAAAGATCCATTCAAATCACGGCCACGCGCAGGATTGCTTCCTAACAACAGCAACAATAACGAGCAGCGATAGCAGAGCGACATCCAGGGTAGCCTAGCTGCGCACACTATGGATTTTTGCGTCAATTTAAAGCGGTTTTAATGTTCACGATCCAAGAACGAGATTCACGTTAAGCGGACTACGGCATGGACGTCGTTACGCTGACCACGTCAATGCTGATATGGATCCCCGATTAATACCCTGACTGTCAGCAACCGACGACCGTCCAATTTGTTATTTTTGACTGCAATGTTTTACTCAGCTCAACAAAAGTCCCTGTGGCCGATCGTTATGCTTGATAATGTATCGGCTCTACCACTACTTGCATTCTGGTCAAAAACCGTATTCAGTCTAACATTCGACAAGGTTTCGCTTTTTTACTCATCCCATTTAATTGCTTCATTGACTGGGTTCCTTTAAGGCCCATGCGCAGTTTCAATGGCGTCAAACTTGCATCTGGACATCGGCCTACCTGCCTGGACTATGTTTACGATGACGCCCTGCCTGAGTTAAGCCGTGAAGACCAGCGTGCTATTCCTAGGGTGAGCGGGGCCTTTAAACTAGTCGATTGAGCCACTATACGAAGTCTACGGTTTTCACGAGCTGCTTCTCAGACCACAAGACACATTTTGTGACTAGCAGGACTCAGCTTGGAGAAGTAGACCTTTTTAAGTATAACCAGGCCAAGTTGTTTTTGGATGGACGAGAATGAACCACGTCGTCCGAATAAATGCTGCTCACCGAACTTTTGTCTGTCTTCAAAGGTGTATATTGACTCTTTGCGATATCTCAGTAGTTTTGACGTTCCAGCAGTAACTTATGTGCCTGTCATACAGACGGAAACTGGAGGTTTTCAACAACCATTGCTTTGGAAAGATTCTTTAAATGAATTAACACAAATCTCGAATGAGACAGTCCGCACTCACAACTATCGCAAGAATATCTCAGGCCATCCAAGAAAGAAGATTGCTATGGGTGACTCAGACTCCTCAACTTCCATCCACTGGGTTCATCGCCGATGTCTGATGTCGTTGCCTAGCTGGAAGCAAAGATAAGAAGATCAGATTAGAACAAAGAGCTGATAATCGGCTTATATCGACGGCGGAATTAATGGGAGCCTTCGTCATGCGCATAAGTGGGGTGAAAAGCATTCGGCCTGTTGGCTGTAGAATACCATTGTATTCATCGCCGGCCGTTCGGAATCTTATCGAATGTGGCCTTTAGTCACAGCTAATTGCACTCCGACCCCTCCACTCAATTTACTTCTCTGTCCCTGCTCCATTACGTTTTAGTCTTCTTTACCTCGACTTTTTCTAGGGCTGATGCAAACTGTCGATGGTGCAACAGTCCTTTTCTAACAATCAACATTATGCAAGTAAATTGTTAGGTTGTCACACTCTTGAACTCCGTTAACGTTTGTGCGTATGCCGCTGATAATGTTATTTAGCAAGTTTTCTTGGATTAGACTTGCAAATTGACATAATCAAAACGGGAGTTAGTGGACACTACTGCCCTCCCAGACGGTAGTGGTTCTCATTGGGCCAAGCTACCAGGCTAATGTACCGGTTATACACTCGACTGGCTGTCATATTTTTCATGAAGTCGACTGCGTTTGGAAGGAACACCTGGACGGCAGTACAATTTTCGAGTCTGCTATCTACCGCTGGACGCTGTTATGGATGCAATCCTGTCAGTGTCACTAGCGTCCCTGTATTAATGCCCTTTATCAGTATAATTGAGCTCGCCATCTTGCGTCTCTCGGTTCGTTACCGCTTCTCCTCGAACTTGCCCAGTCATATGTCGCTTCCAGGCTGGTACGCTTTTTGACTGCTTCAATTTTTTGCGAGTTAATAAAATTTGCTAAGCGCGCTGGATTCCGCTTTCGACTTTTCGGAGATTTTATTCATAATTGTCATTTCACCCAATACTTGCAGAGTAGACTTAATGATGGGTTTTATGTTCATCTTGGGCCCTGTTGCGTTTTTTGCATTTTCAGTTTGCACGCAAACATGGACTGCCAAAATCTCCACCGGTGACTGCATACCAGGTTTACGTCGCGGAGCAACTTTCCGGAAACAAGGTACCTTTGTGTAACCTGTCTCTTTGAAATATGCGTAACCTGTAAACTCGAAAAGAGTTCTGCGATATATTAGGTACTCCACCAATCTGATTTCCCGAGCAGACATGCCTTTTACCTTAGCGAGATTAAATTTAAATAAGGAATTACTGCTTCCGGTCGCAGGCGACGGGTTGGCGAGGCTGCAGATTGATTGCAGAGCATTTGAATTGATGACTACTGTTCAAACAGTCCCGGTTCGAACTTCAGGTTATCCAGATTCGGTGTTGAGGTAGGAGAGACCGATGCCGTCCAGTAAGCCATAAATGACCATTCCAGTTCCCCTAATCTTTACCGGAGCCCGTTGCAGTTGGTAATTTGTTTGGTATTCAAATTAAGTGAAAAAAAATCAACGAACATAAATTGCCGTTACAGTGCTGGGTTGTGTACCCCATTGGAGGCATAAGGAGAAATAAGGAAAGAGGGCTGGGTTGTTATAACTGTCTGTATGCACTTACCATATCTGGCCTATCTCATAAAATGCTAGTGAAATTCTAACATGTTTTTTCGATTATGAAGGGTTATTTTAGAACTGCGAAAATTCCCATAGTGATAATCAGACGGCGAGGTGGGAAGCATACGTAGCTTTCAATAAATTCTCCTTGGGCCAGGCGCATCCGTTTATCAAATTCACGTTGGAGATGGAAACGGTCGGTTGTCTTCCTTTCTTAGATGTTCTTCTAAGCAGGAGACCTGACGGTAGCGTCCGAAGGAGCGTCCATCGGCAGAAAGCCAGTTTCTTACCCCTACAACAAAAATAAAATCTATTCCGGTGTTTGGCACAAAGAACTACAAAAATTTGTTCAACAGACAGCATCGAGGAAGAGCTTAGAAAAATCCAGGACTTGCTTCGCGAAAACGGATATCCTGACAGATTTATTGCAAGGGAAATTGCCGAACGACCGGTGAAATCCACCACACTGTCCGCCAAAGAGAAAACTTTGTTCCTCAAAGTCCCTTTCCAAGGGGACGCTGCTAGTGACCTATCAAAGAGACGTTTTGATCAAGTTGTTTCGCGAACCTTCCCGGCAGCGAGGGTTCAAAGATTACTTTCTACCAACCCTATTTTTCGCGGAGAAGCTAAGGATAAGTTGCCACCTCAATGCGCATCTATTCCTTTGCCAATAAAAGCGAAGAGACGAGTCCCAGGAAGCAGTCTCGCAGCAGGAGACACGATCGCTGGGACGAGAGCTTTATTAGCCTGACGTTTCGGATTTCTGCTCGAACCCATCATCACAGACAAAAGCTGATACGGGTGGTTCATGCACAAGGGGCTGCAGTATTTATAGGATGCATTCGCCATGCTACCGCACACCTATGAATATTCACGGCTCCCCCCTTCATCAGGGATCGTTGCACTTGGTGTGTTGACTGTTTGATGGCCGACATTCGCGTCGTTAATTGCTGCAATTTCATCATGTGCGTTGTATGTTGGGACTCGTCTCTCCGCTTCTATTGGCGGTGTAATGATTGCTCGACCATCTGATCCACCGACTCTGGCGTTGGGAAAAGTGTTCACCTGCGCGCTTCCCGCGTGGCTAATTACTCCGCCTAGGCGAAGCCTCAGCATGGAGTATGGAAAGGTAAGGTCATTGCACTTGTTAATGGGCTGGGGGCCAGTAAACCATGACTCAGGCAGCTCCCGGCTCACGCGATTGTCACCTATTGCGAGAATTTCGGCCACGTCGAATTTGAATTTGTGGCCGGATCTCGTCGAATGAGCCGCAACTTGAGAGCTGGCCTCATTTCTACGCACCGCTGCCGCGTGTTCCGACATTCGCGTTCGGAGCTGTCTTCCGGTTTTTCCGACGTAGTTGCTTTGTTCACAACTGCACCAGATCCGATAAACGACTCCAGAAGTTTCTTGCCGTGGCAGCGGGTGTTTCGGTTTCATTAGCTGATGGTTGCCTCCGGTCTGTGTGCAACTCCAACCCCGAGTGGTGCGAGAAGGCGGCCGACACCTTCCGAAACGTTCTTGATATACGGAAGCGCTAGCCAAAATTTAGGGTCCGTCCGGTTAGACCTTTTGTTCCTTTTGCGTATGCACCGGTTGACGAAGTTGCGCGGGTAGCCATTGGCTTTGAAGACCCGTCGGAGGTATTGTAATTCGGCAACCTTGTCTTCCGGCTCACAGCAGTGCGTTCCGACACGCCGATAGAGTGTCCTTACACAACTGCGTTTGTGGCAGATTGGGTGGTTGCTGTTGAAGTTCAGTACTTGCATCGTATTTGTCGCTCTCCTGAACGCCTTGGTTTTTGGTCCACTACAATCTTTGTGGCATACGTGGGCATCCAGGAAGTCCAGCTGGTTGTTCTCTTCCTCCACCATCGTAAATTTTATTTCCGGGAAGACTGCTTTCAGACGTTTCTTGAATGTCAGCAGCTGATCCTGGTCGATAACGACGAAGGTATCAGCCACATATCGTGCTCAGAATTTCAGTCTGTGGTGCTGGAAGACCAGCGATTCTAGCCGTTGCAGGACCGCCTAGGCGATGAATCCCGAAATCGGCGGACCCATTGGTGTGCCCTTCATCTGTTCGTAGATTGTCCCGTCGAACGTGAAGTACGTCCTGAGACAGAACTTCAGGAGCTGAAGGACTTGGGCGTGTCCAATACGATTCTCTGTTTAATCGTATTTGCTTTGTAGAAGCAGCTCGATTGTATCGATTGCCAGGTTCTGGGGAATAGAAGTAAAAAGGGATGTAACATCAAAAGATACCATGACCTCATTTGGATAAGGGCTTACCACTTTGAGTTTCTCCAGGAATTGTGCTGACGAAGGGACCGTGGTGTCTGACTCAGCGGTCAGGAACTTGATACGCCGGAACAGCCACTTAGCCAATTCGTACTTTGGAGTACCTTTGAGCGACACAATGAGTCGGAGAAGAGCGCCGTCTTTGTGCAACTTAGGGGGGCCATAAAATCGGGCCACAGCAGTATCTTGGGGTCTCGCCATGCGTCTGTCGGTCGGTGTTATTGCACCTGAGTTCTCCAAGGCCAACAACGTAGCATTAATTTCGCGTGTCAGCGCTTTTAAAAGGTTCGTTGCGCATGGAATATTGAACCGTCGGTCCTCCAGTAATCCTTTGGCTTTTTGGAGGTCGTTTGTCCTGTCCCCTACAACCGTGGAGCACCCCTTATCCGCTGGCACGGTGACCAAGTCTTTGTCGGCCTTGAGTTCTCTAAGCGCATCACGTTCGACCTTGGAAAGCACTTCCCGCGACCTGTGGGCCATTAGGAGAGACGGCACTTGGTGTCGGATGAGGCTCTTGGTCTCCTCCGTTGCCTCCGTCTGACTAAGGACTGATTACACTGCTGCAATCATGTTAACAGGTTTTTGCGTCAGCCGTGTTAAATGAGGCTTCGTGCCGCAATACCTGCATCTGATCCTCCGTTTGATCCTTCCTTTGCTTGCTCCTGTGGAGCAGGCCATATTGGTCACCGGAGCCGGCGCTTCTCCAAGAGAATACGAGAAAACCTCTCGGCATGACTGGGAAAAGGCGAAACCAGGAGCACAAGCCACGCCATTCTCGCGCATGTTTTCGATTCCGGACATCGTGTGGACCCCAGCGAAGCTTTTCGTGTGATTCATAAGGTCCCATCGAGCTATCTTAAACCACTAGGCTGGCACTCGTTAGCAACAGCAGAAGCGGCCGCCATCAGGTTACAAAAGCCAATCTTGTGCGCACAGAAGAACCAAATTCAGGCGCAGCACCTACAGTGGTCGAAGGTCGACTAACTCTGCTCCTGACACTGACTGCTGTTTTCCCCCGCCCCTCCCCCACGTTCGCACATCTCGCCTGTGTTTTAAGACGAACTTTAGTCGATTTCTCCTATCACTGATATTTTTTTGCTTCTACCCCGAGGAGAATTTAGCGAAAGCTACGTATGCTCGCCACCTCGCCTCTGATTACTGCTATACGAAGGATTACTTAGGTGGGTTATAATCGAGAAGTAGATGCGATCGCAGGAACAAGAGCTTTACTCGCTTGATGTTTCGGTGGCTTAAAGACCAAGGTACCCAGGAAAGCGCCACATTCAACGTAAGTACTGAACTTAAACAGCAACCACCCAGCTAGCCACAAACTCAGTTGTGTAGCGACGCTATATCGGCGTGTCAAGACTCAGTGCGGAGGACAAGGTTGTCGAACTCCAGTCGAGTGTTCAGAGGAAATGGCTGCCCGTGCAACTTCGTCTGCCGGTGCCTGCGCAAACGTCAGGTAATGAAACCAAAAGACACACGTCCGCGGCAAGAAACTTCTTGAGTCGTTTATCGGATCTGGTGCAGTTGTGGGCAAAACAACTACGTTGGAGAAACTGGAAGACTGCTTTGGACACGGGTCGCCGAATACGCGGCAGCACTGCGGAGAAATGACGCCAACTCCCAAGTCACGGCTCATTCAACGGCATCCGGTCGCACATTCAAGTTCGATGATGCCGAAATTCTCCCGAGAGGTGGTAAGAGCGTGAGCCGTCCGTTACTGGAGTCATGGTTCACGGGACTCCAGTGCAATGACCTCCCCGCCCCATGTTCTATGCTGAGAACTAGCCCCATTGGGGAGCGCGCAGGCCGGTGAGCCAGATGGCCGAACAACCATCACGCCAACACCCAATACGACCGATGAAATTTCGGCAATTACCTAACGACTTGCTTGTCGGACATCAAGCCGTTAGCGCACCAGCGGGCAACAATTCTTAATGGAGGGGAGAGCCGTTAATTGTCATAGGTATGCAGTAGCATAGCGACTGAAACCCTCAAATACTGCAACCTACTATGTATGAATTATCGGTAACAATCGGGAGATGGCACCGAAAAGAATCTTCCTAACCAAAGGAGCATGTCTTACGAGACAGGTGGTAATAGGGGTTTTATGGGTGGTGGCTGGTCGGGATGTACGATACTAGCCGACGGAAAGCCTTATTTGAACAGATGAATGATTGAAGTTGGCCCGCTCTCCGTTCCGTTATTACAAAATGGGTCGCCAAAGGCAGTATAGTGGTAACGGACGAGTGGAAGGCGTATAATCGTATTCCCTTAGAAGGTTGTCTACATTTCTCTGTGAACCACTCAAAGAACTTCAAGGACCCTACCACCGGACGGTACACCAATGTCATTGAGGCATACTGGAGTAGACTGAAAAGGAAACTCCACGAGGGAGGCCCTGTATGTGGTCGAGCTGTGTGGGCTCACGTAGACGAAGTACAGTACCGTCTTTGGTTTGGCCTCAATGCCATGTCTTTGACAGATGCCTGGGAACTGTTCCTGTCCCATATTGTGCATACTTATCCTATTTAAAAGTGATTTTGTTTTGTAATAAACTGCCATAATGCGAATGTATGCCGTATAATCAGGTGTGCGTGTGTAACGATGGGGGAGGTTGGGTAACAGCGACCATCGTCCATGTAACCTCCTGCGATGTTCGTTCGGCCAACCCATGTTAGGCCGTCGGGGAAAGTCCAATAAGTGCGTGAAAATAGGCCTGCAGCCGCTGATATTAGCCTGAAGGCGTTTGAGTGCACTGTTTAAGGTATTATTTCTAGGTAACGGATTTTTTGGGTGCCATCTCCCGATTGTTACCGAATTATCTGTATCTCTAATGTTCCCGATGCTGGGTCCGATCGTAAATCCGAGACGTCAGGCGCACAAAGCTCTTGTTCTTCTCAGCTTCTTCCTGGAGCTCACATTTTCGTTTGTATCGGGGTTGTAACGTGGATCATCGTGCGACGTAATTCCAGGATAGTTCAGTCAAGCCTGGATGACTGCTTTTGAAAGGGCTCCCTTCCGACTAAACGTAAGAGATAAACTGGGTAATAAGATAACACCTGAGTAGTACGAATTTTTCGACTGATTTTTGATGTCCCGATAAATTCGAATATATTTCATGGAAACCATAATCAAATATGTGGTTTCTTGTACTCATTTTGTAGAAAACCACACCTTCAAAGTGTTTACCCAAAGAAGGGGTGTCTTTAGGTTTGAAAAAATTTGCAATTACGGGATTTTTAAGATCCTGAAATGTCCATTCAGACAGCGTCGCGTTTGTCTGCTTATTAATGCTGCTTATGAATTGTACAACATGGACTACTTCTACTGTAACATTTTATGAGTCCTATATGGTATTTACTTAATAACACAGAGGAAAGTCCACGGCATGCAGTTTGGAAACCCTAAGCGCAGGTGTAGCTGCATGTTGGGTTCAAACTTATTCGGGGATTAGAAGGTTTTCTAAACCAAACGACACGCTTTCTTCAAGTATAACATCTAAAGATGTAGTCTGTTGTGAATGAGTGCAAGAATACGTATATTTTTGCTCGTTTTTTTAACCAAATATATTTTAACTTATAAGGGCATTGACATTCAGTGGGAAAGCGCATACTACCTACAGCAGGTGGGGTAAGTCATGAAATGTTAACCGAAATTCCGAAATGCGTTTTCGTTTCGAAAGGATTAATTATGTAGGGTTGTAAAACTAGTCAACCTGCAACATAATTCTATGATAATTCAGTTACCTCAGGATGCCGGCTTTCGAATGAACTTCCTTCCGGCTGCATGCAAAAACTACACTGCAAAAAATGACTACTTATGTAGCATGCATTTTTCTGATTGATTTTCGATGTCCATAGAAGTCCAATTATAGTCCATGAAAAACATGCATAAAAATATTCATTCTTTCGCTCATTCAAAAGAAAATTACGTCTTCTTCTAATTTTACACTCGAAGGAAGAGTATAATTGGGTTTTCGAAAACTTTTCCAATTCCCGAGTAATTTTGAACCAGTTCCATCGCCACACGTGGATTCAGGGTTTCCAAACCACAAGCCTTATACTTTCCGCCTACGGAATACCACACATTTCTCTGCGGTAATAAAGGGGGGCCATATAGGCCTCATAAAATTAAGCAGTGGATTTGATCCATATTGTTAACTTTACAAGCCAAATTGGTAAATGCAGGGATATGAAGATTTATGAACGGCCATTTCACGGTATGAAGTCTCACAATTGGAAACTTTTTTAAAACCGAATTATGTCCCTCCTTCGAGTATAAAATTAGAAGAAGAGGTAATTTTCTTTTGAATGAGCAAAGGAATGAATATTTTTATGCATGTTTTCCATGAAATATAATTGGACTTCTATGGACATCGAAAATCAATGAGAAAAATGCATGCTACATAAGTAGTCATTTTTTTGCAGAGTGTAGTTTTTGCATGCAGCCGGAAGGAAGTTCATTCGAAAGCCGGCATCCTGAGGTAACTGAATTATTATAGAATTATGTTGCAGGTTGACTAGTTTTACAACCCTACATAATTAATCCTTTCGAAACGAAAACGCATTTCGGAATTTCGGTTAACATTTCATGAGTTACCCCACCTGCTGTAGGTAGTATGCGCTTTCCCACTGAATGTCAATGCCCTTATAAGTTAAAATATATTTTATTAAAAAAACGAGCAAAAAGATACTTATTCTTGCACTCATTCGCAGCAGACTACATCTTTCGATGTTATACTTGAAGAAAGCGTGTCTTTTGGTTTAGAAAACCGTCTAATACCCGAATATGTTTGAATGTAGGTTTGGATGAGGTCGCCGCGCAGTTGCCTGTAATTGAGAGAAACAAGTGTAGTTTTTGTCAAAGTTGAAAGGCGTCAGTGATTCCCTTGCCTTAGCCCACTTTTTAACGTTGACGCTCTGACCTCGGTCCAGGCGGAGGTTTTCTGACTGACATCCTTACTTCCATAATCTTCAGCATGAAAAGTAACTGCCGCCTACTCGATGCACCTATGCATCGGTCGTTTCGGGGGTGAATATCTCTCCACGGGACTGCTCTGTAAACCGAACATACTTGTGTCTGTTAATATAATCACCTTCATTGGATGAGCGCAGAGCCGTCCGAGCTAATGATTGGCCATACGGCGTTACTTTACGAGCACTCATTTTAACCTGTCTTTTAAAGGGTGTTCGGCTGGTCATCACTTAGGTACTTTAGAAGACGCTCTGACACGTCCTATTTCGGTAAGTCTCCTGGGCCTTAACTAAACCCTTCGATTATTTGTTGTCATTGTTTTGATGTTCGTTAGGCCGAAGGAGGACTAAGGAATGTCAATTTTTTAGCCACGACGTTTAGCTCTTCGTGACAGTTTGATAGTATTCAACTATTTATTCTTGCCTGCTAAAACCACGCTCGGTACAAAGTGGCCACTTAAGCAGCACTACTTCATCCCATCACTCTCTGATTTCATTTTGAATCTAAATAAAAAACGTGCACCAAGGTACTCTTTCTTGCACTCATTTTGTAGCAACTTACTTCCTCTCATTTTGTTCTCGAAGACCGCGCATTTTTCGGTTTTAAAAGGGGTTTTTCGATTCTCGAATAATTTTAAACGCTATCTGCAGTTGTACTGGTGCTAAGGACATGCTGTATACTTTCCGTGTAAGGAAGATCATACATTTCAATACGCCATCACGCCCTATAGGGTATATAAAATTTTACAATAATGTGGACCCTTCTGTATGCGTCATAAGCAGCATTAATAGAGGGACAGATATGATGCTATTTGAATGGACATTTCACAATCTTAAACATCTCACAAAATGCATACATTTTTAAATCAAAAGTTTACAAATTTAATTTATCGCCAAATCAACGCAAAAAGCGTATTTTATGTTTGATTTCTATGAAAGTGCATCAAAAATCAGTGGAAAAACCGTAGCACTACCCGAATAGTCCTTTTTTTACCGCGTGCTACCGGCCTGAAAAGGGCGCTTTCAAAAGCCGGCATTCTGGGGGTGTGACTGAACTATCCTAGGATTTGGACGCACGATAATATTACACTCCTACCATAGGGATCCTGTCGGGTCGAAAACACGTTTCAGAATTTCCGTTATCGTTTTATTGGGTGCGTCGGCCACCGCATGTATAACAATGAGGCTAATGTGCGCGTTCACGGTCGGTTGTAGCCAGACTCGAACACTGTTGTCTGCGCAGGGCGAGTCATAACTTGCGTAGGAGTCAGAGTATTTAATAACTGTTTAAGTTGGTTTTTATCGGACGACATAGCTAATTGCGCGTCCCTCGAGTCGTTCCTCGTTTGACACCTCAGGAATTCCGGCCCCTCCGATTGGCACAACGTCCCTTCTGTCCTTGACCTCCATCCAGGATGGTTACTGGCTTGCTTGTGCATACTGGCTCCTCCGGATATTCGCACACACACACGAAAAAATCATTCTATGACGAGCAGACTGTGGAATTCCTGATTTCCCGGGAACGGTTCGTCCTTGTCAAATCATTTCTGAGATTCCCGCAATTGGACTGGTAGTGTGGAACGTAGCTCGAGATTTGCAGAAAGCACACTTCTGGAGTATCGAGCAGCTCTGGAACTACGACAATCTCGATCTGCGTCTGTTGGCGTCTTATGAGAAGTGGAAACCCAGTTAAGCCTGGAGCCGTAACCGCACACTCTACTGTGCAATGGACAGAGCGCGCTGGGCGCCGATGAATACGTCCTGAATTACCACTCACCCCAGGATCGGGGCATTCATAGTTTATAAACCCACTTAGATTGAAATGAACTCAATTGTCCAATTTGACGCAACCAATAGACCCATCCATATTGACAGTCGTTTTTGGCAATACAGCTTTCCTTTGAAGACGCTAGAGGTTGTCTTTGGATTTCCGTTGATGTGCCAGTTGGATCCATGCGGGAGAACAGATGCAAAACAGTCACCAGTATTCGTTGGTAGGCCAACTGGTGGAATAAAGCGTTTTCTGGCGAAAGTTTCGGGGTCTTCTGCCATACCAGTCCTTACAAGCTATGCGGTGGCATTAGGGCCGTTGGTTCGCAGTTTCCTTTGCCGAGACTGACGCACGAGAGCTCCTCGTTACTCAGACCATGCAAACAGACAATATAGCATAAATTCAGTTACAAGATGTCGACGACACACCTCTTGCATTAAAACAATTACCTTTTAGGCCGCATAATACAATTCAGTAATTTTAATCCGTCCCTCCGATGTGAATTAAGGAAGGTGACCTCCAAACTCTAAAACGGAAGTTGAAAGGTTGATTGAAATCTAAATTGTCCATTTCTAAAGTCCCTATACTACTTACGACCCACTCTATACTTGTACTAACAACTCGTCTGGTGTTCTTTGGGGTACATACATACAGATGGGTAGCCCTTTCTAAGTTTCGAAGTTTTGCACAGAATAGACCGATTTTGTTTTCTATCTTAGGGCACTTCTTTAAATGCGATGGCCTCAAAGTTCGTCGAGACCTCCAAGTCTTGGAATCTTCTTTCAGAGCAGTCCAAAGAGGTAATTTCGACGTCGACGGCTTCTGTGCCTGAGATAAAATGTTTACTTGCTACTAATTGGGTAGTACGTTTTGTCTGCGCATAACGGATTTTTATCTCCTGTCCAGAAGTACATTCAGCAGGCAATGGAGAACAGGCTGACCTTCCTCCGAGCGCTTAAAAAGTGGGCTGACGAAAAGGAGATCCAATTCTCCAAGCGAGTGTCAGTCCTTTCGAGCCGGTTGTATGCTAAACACCAGCGTCTAGAGGCGAAGGCGAAGCGTTTGGCGGAAGGGAAGGCAACCCCCCGGAGTTAATCGCCGGCATTTACATTTTGTATTTTTTTTCATATTGAATAATAGAATTATTATCTAAATTTTGTAAATTTATGTTTTCCATGCTTTGGCAAAGCACTGTCACCCATCTACCAGTATGGACATGCCGTGGCCTGGCCAGTGCAGCGCTCTTGTGGAGACTCTAAAATTATCTTTCCGGATAGCACAAAAAATCATCAAATAGTGCCGCGTTTCATCTGGTAGGTGGGCCAAATTATTCCCCACCTGGAAAGTCTATCAAAAATTCCTAGTTCTTTCGAAAACATACAGCCGCGGCCATGCAGATCGACGTCGGGAAGCCATCATGTTAACTCGGGATTCGCTAGCCACGCGTGGCCGAGTTACCCTTGTTGATGCTGGCGGCGCTGTTAATGGTCCACCTGTCGTAATAGGTGATAGCCATCTCCTTTAGCTGATTGTCAATTAGTTACGGTTACTTGGGAGGGGCTCGACGAGTCGAATCCTAGTGCCAAATGTGTGTACGCGCAGGTCGAAGCTTTGGCAGTGTTGGAAAGAGGCCATCGCTGCGTGGGGTTGGCATCCGAGTGGGCGTCGAGCAGGCCTTGCGAGTCGGCGAGCGTCTATCAGGCTGCGCCGGGTCTGTGCTAGTTCCTGACCACTGTCGTGGCGCGCCTTGGACGGAGGCTTCCTCGCCGCGCCACTTGTTGCGCTCGAGCCCATCACCGGTCCGTCGATAGGTTCGGACTAGTACAGGGGTAAGCGAAGTGAGGGAGAGAGACAGAGACTGGTACTGTGGAAGCATCCTGGCCTCAAATCAGGACATTCTTTGGTAATGGGGCAGACATTTGGCGGTTTCATCTATCATGATGTGCCATCAGTCGTGGCAGGGAAGGTTGCGAGCTGACGTGGTAACCCGGCCCTTCTCATGGCCGGAAGGTCAGGGAAGCGAAAGAGGGAGATAGGAATACGCCTTATCTTGAAAGTATTGCCCAAAATTTTTAGCAAAAAGGGCTCCATTCACTGCGGCCAGAAGATAAGCTGACAAATTACGCAAGAGTCGAGAGGTTCACATAAAAATGATCATCTATTACGGGGACAGTCCAAGTCTCAGTTGTTATATTTCGGTCTCTTGACACGTAGGATATAATTCCAAAATTGGCAATACGGCACGCTGATATACCAACGTACTACAGCAGATATACCGGAGGCCTCGGCGCTTGGGGCGGGAGGACCTCGCAGCAATTAGTTCAGCATGAAGGCGATGAATAAAATCATCCAGAATTCGATCGACAAATTCCTTGATCATTGTGAAATGTAGCTGTACTGTCATATCGACTGAAACGACAGAAAAACACCATCAGCAGAGGAGAGCATGCGGAGGGTACGTTTTAGAACCAGCATACCTTTAAGCAAGGCAGAAAAGATGACAGGAGAACAATGAATAATGAGAGGGAGGATGCAGGATCTCCAGATTAGGGGTTGAGCTGTGTGATAGGAACGTAAACGCCGAATTTATTAGAGAAGATTACGACTTGCAGTGGGAAGGGGTAAGCCTCCTGCCTAGCTACGTCATGGTATCCTTTGAGGTCACATGCCTTTTCACTACTATGCCTCAGGACCTGGCAGTCGAGACCATCGAACGATTCCTGCGAGACAAATACAGTAAAACGGAGAATCGCCTCAGGCATGCCCAAATCATCCAACTCCTGAAGTTCTGTCTTAGGACGGACTTTGCGTTCCACTGAACAATCTACAGGCGGGTGAAGGACATGCCAATGGGTTCGCCGATTTCGGAGCTCATAGCCGAGGCCGTCCTACAACGGTTAAAGTCTTTGGTTTTACGACACTACAGAACAAAATTCTGGGCTGGATAGGTAGATGACACCTTCATAGTCATCGCACGGGATTAGATTCTGACACTCGAGAAACACCTCAACGCCGTCTTCCCCGACATTCCATTTACGAGGGAGGAGGAAGAAAACAACCAGCTGGCCTTCCTGGATGTCCTCGTTTGCCGCAAAGATTGCGATAGTCTAAAAACCAAAGTATTCAGGAAAGCGACAAACATGACGCACGTACTGAGCTACTATTACAACAACCACCCAGTCGGTCACAAACGCAGTTGCGTGGGGGCGCTGTACCAGCGTGTGGTGACACTGCAGTGAACCGGAAGACAAGGTTGCAGAATTGCAATACCTTTGATGGGTGCTTAGAGCGAATGGCTACTCGCACAAGTTCGTCGACCAGTGTCTGTGAAAACGAGACGAGAGACAAAATCCAGCCGACCTCAAACTTTGGCAAGCTCTCACGTACGTGAAGAATGTCTCGAAAACCGTTAGCTGCCTTCTTACACCCCTTGGAATTGGAGTTGCACACAGCCCGGAGGCAACTATATGGCACCAGATCATGCGGCCGAAAGACCCATTGCCGCGGCGGAAAACATCGGGAGTGATGCAGTTGTGGGTAAAGCAAATGTGTCGGAGAAACCGGAAGACTACTTCAGATGCGGATGGCCGAGCACGCAGCAGCAGTGCGAAGGACCGGCGCCAACTCAAATGCCGCTGCTCATTCATCGAGACCCAACCACACATTCAAGTTTTATGAAGCAGAAATTCTTGCTAGAGGTGACAACCGCGTGAGCCGCGAACTGCCCGATTCATGGTCTTCCGATCTTCAATTATTCAACAAGTACAACGACCTCCCCGCTCCATATTTGGCACTAAGACTGCCTAAGCAAAGGAGTTGGCCGCGAAGAGAACTTGCGGATGACCACTGTTTCTGGTGTCAATTTTGGGGAGCCAAACTGCCCAGAAGTCCACAAGGATGACGAAATCCAGCAGTTAGCAAATCGACCGCGTGCGATGAGCGTGGGAGCCGATACTTTTGACCGGCACACAGGTGCAGAGCAACGGCATGGCAGCCGTACGCTTCAACACCTGACCAGTCGGACCGTGATGCACTCTGGAGCGGCCAACTGTGATAGGCCCAGAAACTACATCCTATAAATACTGCAACACTTGGGCAATCCACTTTCCTTATGTGACTCTGTCTCTGATGATGAATTCGGGCGAGAATCCGAAAGGTCAGGCTAAAAAAGCTCTTGTTCCAGCGATAGTGTTTACTTCTTGGTGAAAAGTCTCAGCATGAAGGGGGAAGGAACGATCGGATATCAGGACAACATCAAGGTGCCGAAAAGAGGATATCTCATTGGGAAGAATATCCAAGGATTCAGAACTTGGCAAGGGTCCCAGTCGGATGACACACTGATTTCTGAAGGCTCAGTAGGAGACCATTTTCCAACAACCATGCAGACAAATGGTCAAGGCCATCCTTAAGGAACTGGAGATGTGTCCGATTTTTACGATGATAACCAAGACCATATCATCTGCATATTAGACATACAGACAGTCATCTGGCGGCTTTTATAGCATTCTAAGCCAGGTGAGACTCAAGTTCTGTCAAATGCAGTCTGGCATATGCGATGTGGGGACCAGGTCATACGCGACACGGATAAAAGGACTGTTTGGCTTTGTCAGACGCTGCAGCATGCTCTATTCCTACTTTTGTCTTTCCATCGGGGCAAGGTAGGTGGGAGAGTAGAGAAAAAGAAGAGGATACAGTGGGGGTCTGGAGCACTGAAGAAATTCACGCGCAGATCATTACTGGTGGGCCCATCGCATGAGACAGTAGCAGACGTCGTCGTGGTCAACAGCGAAGGGTTAGCTGTCCAATGGATGGCATTTCGGAATCACGCCTGCTGCTATGGACGGTTGTCAGTAGTCCCGACAGGACAATATCGCTGGAGTTCATAGTTTTTTTCCACAGCAGAATGCCTCAAGATTATTCACAATGTGGGCTCCTTACCTCGGCCAGCTTTCTGGCCACTGTGTCCCCGACCAAGTGGCTATTTTGTCGCAAAGTGAGGGGAAGGGATGACTTATGTTAACTCAAGGGTCTTTAGAAAGCCCTATTTACTTCCTAGTTTACCATCTCGTCTTGGTTATATCATCGACACACCTATGACTACAACACTTCGAGTCGGAGGGTAGCTCAAGTGGTGGGGTATTCCTGTGGTATATTTTTTAAGCTGAATCTCCCAACCCATTATTATTAAGATAGCGGGTATGCGTTTTCCCGCAAAGCTGGAAGAACGATAGTCCGGAATAAGGAACAAAAGGACGAACGTATAGATCACACAGCTTTGAGGGGCAGAATGAGAAGAAGGTGCAGTCTTCCTAAGTTTCCTCGACGAGAACATTACGCATTAGGAAGTTGAAAGTGTCTAAGCAACGACACCTCATCATCATCGTCGTCATCATCATCATCAGCTCGGGATTTAGTTCAGTTCATGTTTGTCAAAGGAAATATAGGCAAGCACCTTCGAACTCCCTAGCGGTTACAAGTTGTTGGAGAAAAACACCGATAGATGAAAAGTTGAAAAAGAGACTGTGCGTAATTGTACACCGCTACCAGACGGTCAAAAATAAGTAATTATTAACGGTTACTCACTAATTGCGAGTAGCATACGCGTATATAAGTTGGTGCCGTGTTATGTGAGTGGATGTGGGGCTGGTAATTGGGAAGCTTGATACACGTCGAGTCTACACTTAAAGGAATTCACACGGAAGGAGTGTACGAAATCGGTAGGTAGGGCACTCGACGCTGCAAGCACTCGGCTACTGAAAAATAACTTTCGTTCATTGATCCTTGCTTTCCCTGCGCGTAGTATTAGGGGATGACCGCGCAAAGTGGGCGTTTTATCTGGAGTGGAGTAATCAGTGGGATCCAAACAACATTCTAGATTGTTGATAAGGCGAAATGTTAGTAGTTGTCTGTAGGAAATGGGAAACGGGTTGATAGTTAACAGTCTGATTTCATGGGGCAGCGCTCCCAGACCTTTTGTCATTTTGGACGCCCGTCTCTGGACCTTCTCCAAAACGGTATGGTCTTTGGCGGTCCAAGGTCTCCACGCCTGTATGGCGTATTCTAGATGAGGCTGCACTAAAATGCCAAATACTTTG